TTAAGTTCGGCTAGTTGCGCGTACGCTTTTGTAAGTGTATTTAGGTTGCGTTTCTTGAGAAAGGAGGCCCGCTTAATAAAGAGCCCTCGTACTACTGCTGTATGGGCGCACCAAACCGTATCGTCTGTGGTCTCCCCTGACCCGTTCCTTTGAAAGTATTCTGTTAGCGTGGTGCGGACTAGGTCCCGAAAGGTCTCATCCATTAGGAGGGATTCGTTAAGGCCCCACTGCCCACGGCCTCTGAACTGAAATGTATCGTATAGTTGGAGGTGTACCGGACTGGTCCGACCAAGTGATGTCCCCTATCTGGCAGTCCTGTAGTTGCGCTAAGGTGGCAGAGTCAAGAAAGAAAGTGTTGATTCTGGTGTACGTGTTGTGTACTTTGGAGTGGAATGTGTAGTCAGTCTGTGTGGGGTGAAGGATGCGCCATGCGTCGTGTAGGCCATACTATGTAAGCAGCTTAGAGATATCCTTGCATGTGTCAGCCATATGCTTTTTCCTGTGGCCCTCAGGGCGGGCTGTGGTGTCTAGCGTTGGATGTTGGATAAAATTAAAGTCTCCGCAGAGAATGAGACCCCCTACTCTAGCCTCATCCACAGTCAGGAGGAGGGTTCGTAAGAACTTTGTGACCTCTGCGTTGGGGAAGTAGGTTGCTACAAGGGTGTATGGGGTGTTATTCCAGAGGCCCACAAGTATAATAAACCTGCCTCTCGTGTCTATAACTTTCTTATGGAGCGTTAGGGACATGTCTTTGTGGATGAGGATGGAGACTCCCTTAGTTTTGGATTCAGAAAGTGCGTGGAATTGGGTTGGGAAATGCTTGTTATAAATGGACGGGTTGTGGTCTTTCTTAAAGTGGGTCTCTTGCACACATGCGACATCTATTCTGTCTTTCTTTAAGTCCCTAAGTAGAAGGCTCCGTTTACCAGGGGAATTTAGCCCCTTAACATTCAAGGTTGTAATTTTTATAAACAGTGACTTGGGGGGTTACTATAGGAGGGGGATAGTGATCCCCTGTCAGTAAGTGTGTCAGGGTCGGGGGGCGATGAGTTGTTTCCTTGGAGAACCACTATGCGAGTGCGTGGTGTCGATAGTGAAAAATATGATGCAGGATGGGGCCTGGAGAGGGTGGTCCCTCTCCAGGCCCCATCCTGCATCATATTTTTCACTATCGACAACTAGGAAGGGGGGTAGTTTCCCGCAACGGCGGGTAGGTTAATGCTCAGCAAATCTGAGCGAAGATGTGGTCTGGTACGTCCAGACTCACATGAGCCGGGGGTGGCTGATGGTGTCTCCGTAATCTGGAGGCACTCAGGTCTTAGGGCTCGGTCGGGGCTTCTGGGAAGATGAGGGATGGTTGGACAACATCCCCAGAGAGCTATTAACTATGAATAAACATTTTTTTTTCTTTTTTTTTTTTATCGCCTCTGCAGTGTCATATTCTAACCATAGAGGCTATACAGAGGAGTTATAGCAGTTGAACAACAATTAACAAATAAGGTTTAAACATCTGGTAGGCACATTTGTATATGATACCCTCCGGGTGCGGCCAATCAGGCCCTAAGCTTGAGTCCAATCTTGAGTCAATCTGGGGACTTTCGCTTGGGAGGGTGCTTGGGGGCTTGGTAGCGGTATACCCCAGTCCTGCAATTTCCTCAGGCTTCTGCCTCCGTCGCCTTCTGCCTCCGAGAGCCGCGTTTCTGCAGGCCCTTGTAATGCGCTCCTTCACGTGATAGAAATGGATGCGGGCTATGACATCCTTCGCGGTCGAGGAGGTTAGGTGGCTTGGCCTGCGTAGCCGGTGGGCTCTATTGATGACGAGGAGGTCAGGATGTGTAGATATGGGACTAATTCCTGGAACAAGTCGGTCAGATAATTGTTCAGGTCTGCATTCTGAATGGATTCCGGAATCCCCCTGAAGCGGAGGTTATTCCTCCTAGACCGGTCTTCCAAGTCTGCCATCTTGCGTTTTTGTGCTTCTAGCGAGGTCTCCAGCTCTTGTAACTTATCTGCTAGGCTGTTGTGTGCCACTGCGAAGTCATCGAGCGATTTCTCCACGTGGACTGTCCTGCTCCCTATTTCCAGGAGCTCTTTGCGGAGGTCTGTGGTGAGTGAGTGTATCTGAGCTGTAATACTGGCTTGGAGCTTATCGGACAGTTCTGCCATCAGGGATCTCATGCCTGTGGCTGTGAGGGGGCCCTCCTCTGAGGCTGAGCTTGGGGATGGAGGAAGGGAGGGTGTGCACTCCCCTGAGCGCTGTTCGCTGCCATCTTGGACAAGGCCTTCCTTACCCTTCCCCGTCGAAGTTCTTGCCAGGAAAAAGGAGGCTTTCTCGGTTCTGAGAGACTTGTGTTTGCTCCTCTGTGACATGTTGAAGCGTGGGTCTCGTATCCTCTGTTTATATTGCATGTAATGCCGCTTATTTCAGCCCCTTTAGACCCGAGCCGCGGGTGCTTCATATGTGTGCCACCGTTCCTGTCGAGCTCCAAGCCACGCCCCATCTACCAGATTTTTAAGCAGAATTTTAATTTACCTAAAAAGATATCTTATCTTATTTTAGAGCAAATCAATACACCTGGATAAAAACAGTGGTATGCTAACACGTGATACTATCACATTAATATATAATTGTTCTTAATTCCACCTGCAGAATGGAATGTTTATAACTATATATTCTTTAGTTAACTAAGATTTCTAAATATTGAAATCTGACCGTGGTTTATCCAGTCATATATCATGCTATTAGTAAATTTTAATTAATTTAAATTAATTAAATAAACCAGCATAGTTACCAGCTATGTAGATATTCTCATCAGATGAGTAGGTAGTCCCAGAAACTTGATTGGTTGTATGTAGGTGCGTAAGTGATAGAAAATGAGTGGTGTTGGTTAGAAAGTATCAGTAAAATTCTGAGTAATTTAAGAGTTGTGTCCAAGAGAGTTTAAGAGTAGAGTGTTAGTCCCAGATATTGTCCTGGATTTCTCTGCATGTCCGAGTTGGATTCCCCAAACTTCCAATTCCTCTCTCTCTTCTCTCTCCAACCACCCTGTCTTCCCTTTGTCCTAACTTTTAAAGGGCCAGACTCTTTGTACGTCATTAGGGTCGCAATTTAGGTATTTGATCCATAGATGGCAGTCTCGTCTAACGAAACCTTCCTATCCAGGAAAGAGTTAACTTTTCCTGATGACGATTTTGAGTCATTTGGCTTATCTAAAATGACTACCATAACTTAGATTTGCTGTCAGTTCAAAGCATTTGTCTCAGGCTTTGTGGCAACTACTTTGGTCGTAACTTGTAAAATTGACAGTTCTAAACTCAGTTTCACCCCTTACTACAATTGTACCTTGTAAAACTTAGAAAGTAAAATTAATTACTTAGTCTTCTCTGTCACTAGTGTCTGTGTTTAGATAATACATTCTTTTAACATTTAGACAGAGCATTCCACCCCCCTTGCTTAATTGCTTATCTTGGTTAGTAAAAGTAATACATTCCTCAGCTCAAGCAAGTGGCTAGTTACAGAAGTAAGAAGAAATCAAGGAAATTATGTGTTTTTGTAATCCCGAAGATAGCAAAATGGAGGCAGCTTTATTCTGAGTGGTTGTGGCAATATACACTTTTAATTTCTTTTTATCACAAAATGTCTGTTGATATAAATATTCTGACATAATCCCACTTAGTGACTTTCCATAGCAATGAATAATTTAGCCTATGAATAGGCACTATAGAAGTTACCAGACATATTGTGCACTCACATCATTTCTACTGACATAGGCCTGTGTGTGGAATTAATATGTTTTTGTATATCTTTGTACCTGTGAGAGCTTTGAACTTTACACTTAGTACAATCAACCATAATATTATTATTAACATAGTACATTGTTTTCATTTGAAAAATGTTTTTGGGAGTTACATATGGTATGGCCAATAAAAAGCAAATCTCCATGCGTTCCGGATCAGAGGTATAGAGCTCCCCATCTCAAAGGCCAGATTTACTTGCATAGGCTCAATTGTCTCTCCATCCACATTGGCAAGCATTGCATGAACAATATCCTTGGATACAAAATACAGAGGTATGCGTCCCCCTGCCAATTCGATCATTCCAGTTTGCACTTCGTCAAGAAAAGCAAGTGTGTGGAACAATATTGGGTCATGCAGAAATAGAAGTTTATGCTTAAATAAGTCATGACTTTGGTGCAACTCAGTGGATTTGGCAATTAACTCTGAATGCAAATTTGTTGTAACAACTGTGTCTTCCACAATAGTTAACACATCTTGGAGAAGTGTTCTTTGCTGGTTTATCACTTGATGAATATAGTTAATGTGTTGCTTTAGCGCATAGATTTCCATATCCAGCTTTTGAACAGTAATAGAGTTGGCTGCAGACATTCCAGTTGCGGCAACTGCACCGACAGTGGCACAAACTAATGCAACAATTATGGCGGTGAGGAACCTTTTGGGTCGGTTGCTCATCGAAATAGTACTGGATACAAATGGTTTCCGGGCTTGCTCCAAGATGTTTCGCACACGGTCCTGTGCTCTTTGGAGGTGCATCTGGTACCAAGTCTGTAACTCAGGAAGCCGCATCGATGAAATGTTGTATGCCTTCTCGATGGAAATCTTGGGGTCCAAGCTGACGAACACACGTTGGGTCAGGATCCTCTTCTCTGTCAAGATGAACCCTGGTGTCTCTTGAATCAGGATGCCGGATGATGGTCCCATCTCTGCGATCGGGTCGGTCCGTAGCTCTTGGCACAGGAGCAGTACGATCCAGAAACACGCCACATCCTTCTTGGACATCTTTCGACAATCACGGATTAGGGACTCGTTTCAGACTTATCTACTAATGATTAGTGATGTACCGAACGGTTTGCCGGCGAACGGTTCCTGGCGAACATAGCATGTTCGCGTTCGCCCCGGCGGGCGAGCATATGCGCGGTTCGACCCGCCCCCTATTCGTCATCATTGAGTAAACTTTGACCCTGTACCTCACAGTCAGCAGACACATTCCAGCCAATTAGCAGCACACCCTCCCTTGCAGACCCTCCCACCTCCTGGAAGCTGCATGCTTAGTAAGAGGAGGGAAAGTGTAGCTGCTGTTCATTAGATAGGGAAAAGCATAGCTAGGTTAGGGTATGCTTTTTTTGATTTTTTTTTCTATATAATGTAATTGCACTTAGTTGTCTGCCACTGCTGCCAGCTTCTGTGTCAGGCTCACAGTGCATACTGTGCCCATTTCCCCAGTCAGTGCCACCACTTACATCTGGTGTCACAATAGCTTGGATTTAAAAACAAAAAACTTTTTTCACTGTTATAGATTGAATAGCAGTCAGTTGTCTGCCACTGCTGCCAACTTCTGTGTCAGGCTCACAGTGCATACTGTGCCATTTCCCCAGTCAGTGCCACCAATTACATCTGGTGTCACAATAGCTTGGATTTAAAAACAAAAAACTTTTTTCACTGTTATAGATTGAATAGCAATCAGTTGTCTGCCACTGCTGCCAGCTTCTGTGTCAGGCTCACAATGGATACTGTGCCCATTTCCCCAGTCAGTGCCACCACTTATATCTGGTGTCACAATAGCTTGGATTTAAAAACAAAAAACTTTTTTCACTGTTATAGATTGAATAGCAGTTAGTTATCTTCAAGCAGGTGTGTTACGCTAACAGTGGATACGGTGACCAGTGCCACCACTTAGATCTGGTGTCACAATAGCTTGGATTTAAAAAAAAAAACTTTTTTCACTGTTATAGATTGAATAGCAGTTAGTTATCTTCAAGCAGGTGTGTTAAGCTAACAGTGGATACGGTGACCAGTGCCACCACTTATATCTGGTGTCACAATAGCTTGGATTTAAAAAAAACCCCACTTTTTTCACTGTTATAGATTGAATAGCGGTTAGTTATCTTCAAGCAGGTGTGTTACGCTAACAGTGGATACGGTGACCAGTGCCACCACTTAGATCTGGTGTCACAATAGCTTGGATTTAAAAACAAAAAACTTTTTTCACTGTTATAGATTGAATAACAGTTAGTTATTTTCAAGCAGGTGTGTTACGCTAACAGTGGATACGGTGACCAGTGCCACCACTTAGAACTGGTGACACAATAGCTTGGATTTAAAAACAAAAAACTTTTTTCACTGTTATAGATTGAATAGCAGTCAGTGTCCTTAAAGCGGGTGTGTTACGCTAACGGTGGATACGGTGACCAGTGCCACCACTTAGATCTGGTGTCACAATAGCTTGGATTTAAAAAACCCCCACTTTTTTCACTGTTATAGATTGAATAGCAGTTAGTTATCTTCACAAAGCAGGTGTGTTACGCTTACAGTGGATACGTGACCAGTGCTACCACTTAGATCTGGTGGACACAATAGCTTGGATTTAAAAAACAAACACTTTTTTCTCTGTTATAGATTGAATAGCAGTCAGTGTCCTTAAAGCGGGTGTGTTACACTAACAGTGGATACGGTGACCAGTGCCACCACTTGTATCTGGTGACACAAAGCTTGGATTTAAAAACAAAAAACTTTTTTCACTGTTATAGATTGAATAGCAGTCAGTGTCCTTAAAGCGGGTGTGTTACGCTAACAGTGGATACGGGTGACCAGTGCCACCACTTAGATCTGGTGACACAAAGCTTGTATTTAAAAAAAAAAAAACTTTTTTCACTGTTATAGATTGAATAGCAGTCAGT